CCCTGCGACCTGCTGCTTCCCGCGTCGTCGTGTGGGACCGAACGCAACCCGGACGCGGCGGCGGTGGTGGTGCGGGGGTCGGAGGTCACGCTGTGGCCACCGCCATTTTCAGCGTCCAGGAGCTTTGCTGTGAGCGATATGTCACTGTAATAGTCCTGCTCCTCCTCCTCCTCATCATCATCCTCGTTACTTTCAAAAGAGTCATCATCGTTATCTTCCTCCGTCTCCCCGTCGTCCCCTGCCAATCTCCGCGGGTCCTCGTCCCAGGGCATGCGCAGTCGATCGTACCCGGCAGGGGGCGCTGATGATGCAGCGCCGCGTGTCGACTGCCACGGCGGCGACGATCCCTCGACGATGACGGGCAGGTACGGGTTCCAGTCGAACCACAGCTGGTGTTGGGCCATGACGCTTCGCGGCGTAACCGCGTGGCGGCGGCGGTAGTGGTGTGGTGTCGCGCGTGGCGGGCGTGCGCGGCAGTCGATCAACAGCGATACTACGAATGAAGACCGCCGTCCTGCCATGTGACTGCGCAGCGGCGTGACCGTGCGGGTGGCGCCGCCTGGCAAGAGCAAACACGGCGAGATCGCGCGCCGGCTGAAAAACTCTCGCGGCGGGTGTGCGCGTGCTCGCTCGTGGAATGCGCGCGTGAATGCGTACCGCCGGTATGGCCAGTTGTCAACCCGCACAAACAAACCAGGGTCCAAAGTCCCGCAGCTATTGCAGTCCCTCCAACCACCCCTCCCACCAACAACTCTATGCAAATCGAGTACGGCCAACCACTGGCCCTGCTGGGAAACCTAATCTCCGGCCACCTTTAGGTGTGATTGTTTTGGCACGGGTGCTTATTCTGCCCGCGCCCGATGTCGTGCGATTGGTACGATGCCAAGCATCTAGCCACACGGTCGCCGTACACGGACGTAGCACACAGCCCTCACAAACCCTTGCGGCAAACGTCAGAATGTAGACAGAACGCCCAACGTGAAGCGTGTGTGAGTGAGCTTTGTAATGTAGACAGAACGACCAAGGTGGTGAAGCTTTGCGAAGGTGCGTAGTCTGGTGAGTGAGCTATAACAGCTTCACGTGACAGCTTCATGTGACAGCTTCATGTGTCAGCTTCATGTGACAGCTTCATGTGTCAGCTTCATGTGACAGCTTCATGTGTCAGCTTCATGTGAAAGCTGAGGAGGAGTGAATCTACCCAGCTGTGGCTACATGACGTAAGTGTCGTTTCCACGAACGGCACGTAGGAAAAGTTGAAATCGTTCCACGAACAGTTCCGGTGTTTAAAATTTGTTCTGGTGTGTAAATCTGTCCGTATACTGTTGTATCCAACGTTGTTTCCAAAGTACGACACCGTATCCAATGTTGTTCCCGAAGTACGACAC